TAATGAGCATACTTTGCTCCTAAAATTTTCTCCTTCTGTTCTCTCAGTGCTAACCTATTGGTGCGAGACGTTCGCCCTAAGAATGGCAGCTATTCGTAAACTTCACACTACGCGGCAGTTTCTAAATATATATGTTGGGAATAGCAAGGAAAGACCGGAAGGCGAATAAGTGGATAAGAGCACAAACGATGTCTTTCCCGAGTGAAGAAGTTAAGGGTGGTAATAGGCAGAGCACGTTGAAAGAAGGAAGGCACCGGCGCTGAACTAGAGACACAATTGACTGGGTCCAAGAGAAAACAAATGGTCTGTAATATTAGCTGCAAATCAATCAGTGGATGAGCTTAAAAATTTTTTTATCAAGATGGATAATGATCACGGGGCATTAATATGTGGTACAGTCTTGGAGTGGCTTTCATCTAGCACTAGATCAAAAAATACTGCTGCAGATGAGATAATTATATTAGTCATGAGTAAGAGCAAAACTGTGAGTAAACAAAAAGTTCTACATGCTACCATCGAATCTTTATTTAGTCAAAGTGGTGATTACATCATGAAACCCTTAAACCCTTGATGATGTATTCCTTCTTTCTGCTCTTATCCTTTTCTTTTTTTCAGCGAATGTTTTTAAATAAAATATTCTTGCATTTCAGCTATCCGTATACATGGGTCGGCAATTCGAGAACCCACAGACGCTGAACTTGCGACGAGTGTTGGAAAACTGTGCTTTGATGAGGCACCTGTTAAAAATATGTTTGTCGGAAACCGGCAAGCTTGTGGACGCTGATCAGCTGTTCTTGTCGCAGATTCCTGGCAGCACTCCGGCGTCCAAATACCTTCGCATCTACTCCTACCTACAGAGCAGCGTCAATCTGTTGTACGACAGCGACCTTGACCCTCTCTTGAGCAGGTATACGTTTTGAAATAAGATGATATTCTTCCATAATTTATTACGGGGCACCTGTTTGTTTTGCCAAATAAAAACTCGTACTAATTTCGATATGGTCCTTCTTTGTCATAGTGATAATTTACGGCACCGCTGTGCGTGATTTTTTGCTATTTGACGGACCATCAGAGATCACGGCTTTAAGGTATTTAGTTTCCCATAATGCTATAATGACCATTGATGCATCCCATTATTTATTGCCTTGACCAGTATCTTGCTAACCATCAATGATGTTTTTGGAACCTCCACTTTCAGGCGCCCTCTAGTTAATAGTGTTGTTTTTCCCTATGTGTACTGCTTATATGTAGTGTCTATAATAAATATGATATTGGAGAATGTACAATATAGTGTGTGTACAATGGTGTATGCAGCATATTTAAAATATTATTAAATATTTGCGATTTGATATTATGTATGTATTAATTTATTTTTATGCACACAGGCATGCATATTCTTGTACATATGTATATATGTGCTGACTTCACTTTATGTATGTATATAAATAGTGACAGAGTAGCAATTTTTGTTTGTTATTAGATATCCTGTAACACTGAACATAGCAGCTTTTCAGGAACAGTGGCTCGGCAGGGATCCGTCAGATTCTTGAACGCAAAGAAGGC